GTGTGTGCGCGCGCGTGTGTGTGTGTGTGTATCTGCGACAGATGCTTGTCTTTCTTAAATTCCACAAAATTCTATTCCCTGCGATGGGACCAGAATCGTTCGATAAAACTCTTGGGAGGTGGATAAAAAAGATTTCCCACTTTTACGTTGCGGAGCTCATTCTCTCCGTTCTAGTAAATTGAGTATTTCTGTTCTATCGTCAAATCAGTAACTTATCCGTTTTCCGTCGTAAACGTGCTGCTAAGTATAGGTTCGCACACGCGACGACCAATAGGTACTTGCGGGTGGAAGGGGGGGGGGGCGGCAAAGTAATCTAGATTGAGCTGGTTATATCGCACATCGAGCGTGAGAAGGTCGGTTTTTTTACGCAGGTTCATATCGCGGTACTGTTTTCGACGATTATGATAGGAAATCGCCCTCGTAAATCACGCCTTTATTCCGCGTATTATATAATCTATTTTCATGCGAAATGACGAGAGCGATTTAAGCACACGTTATTTAATAATAACGTCTTTCCTTCTTTACGAAAATGACGATAAAACAGAGGCAAATTTCGATCGTATTATTTATGTTTACTGTAAAAAATTTACTAAAAGAAAAATACTATTTGTGACTATAATTGCATGGTACAAAAATTAGGAGCACTATTTTTATAGTTATTATTATTATAATGTTAATAATAATAACCTTATACGTACATAGTTCTACCAAGTATGAAAAAATTTTACTATAAATTATATTAATTTCAAGTATTAATATAGTAAAATATCAAGATACCTATATGACAAATGAAATAAATATTTTTATGTAGTATAAATGCAACTGCAATTATAATAAGTATAACTATTTTCTTAACATTTGCTTACTATTTATATTGTAATAATAACTAAAAAATAAGTAAACGAAAAAATAATAATATCAATCATAATGTATAACCATAAAGCAGCTATAATTTGCATGGTTAAATTAATTATAATTTTATAATTGTCCCCGAAATTCACTATTATAGACATAAGCGCTCTCTTGATATTACTCACAGATTAATAATTGACATCGAACCGTAACTGTAGTATAGTAATAACGGCGATAATTAAATGTTTGGATAACCACATGGAATATTGACGAAATCACTTTTGAGCACATGACAATTATCATTCTAAATGAAGAAACTTGATCGCCATATGGTCGGGACATAACAGTAGAAAATAGACGGGGCACACATCACGGGGCATAATCGCGGAAATTATGTATGATTCCAGCATTACGCCTGTCTATTCCGGAGTTCGACAGTAGCGAATATGGTCGTTATTCGAATGGATCTCGTCGAGAGAGTTTGCTCGTTCCGATTTTACAAGCGACGGGATGTATAAGCGGATTAAACAAAACATTACTGATTGTGAATTCGTGGGACACGCAAAGGCACGCTGTATATCGTGGATTTTCGCTCCGCTGGAGTAACAAGTATACATACGTCACGCTTGTCATGACGATGGTTCCAATTTTTCGTTTTCGCGTCGCGGTGGAGTTCCACGGCTTTTTCTTCCGATTCGATATTCACCCGCCGAATAAAAAGAAAGCAGGCTGAACGCAAGAATGTCGCCTCTTACAGAGAATAACTAGTTTACAAAAAAAATTTTTTTTTCAATTACTTTGGACCGGACTACGTGTTTCTTATAGATTTTTGGATGCCGAAAAACAATTATACCGCAAGCGAAAAATTCTAGCACGTCAGATTTCCAAGATAATTGAGGTTTAAAAAAATGGCTTTTTTTGCGATATTTGACATTTTTTTTATAAAGAAGGTTAACGTTATCTCGAAATTTCGATCAGGAGTCATGAATGTATTGTTCCCCTATAAAATGCATTTTTTTAAATTTCAATACCTTACTTTTTAGCCATGTTATGAACGATTGAAGATAGGAGCTATTTTGAATATAGGGACTCCGGCAGCGTCATGTGTATGTGAATTAATTTCTTAGGATCACATTTTGATAACTGTATGAATTGAATTGAGTATTATAATAGGGGAGATAGAGCAAAGAATGATAGTAAAATAAGTAATTAATGAATAGATTACAAGATTGGACAATATATAAAGTGGGACAATTTTTTGTACAGTTAATATAATTAATGAGAAATTTCATGGGAGGAATTTAGCAATTAGTGGGGATTAAAAGTGAAATGGAGGGATTCTTAATTTTAATATAAGAGAAGTATTCGGATATACATATGACGCTGCAGGAGTCCCCGTATTCAAAATAGCTCCTATCTCTAATCGTTCATAACATGGCTAAGGTATTGAAATAAAAAAAAAATGTATTTTATAAGGAATGAACAATACATTCATGACTTCTGATCAAAATTTCGAGATAACGTTAACCTTCTTTATAAAAAAAAAACTGAAAAGTCAATCGCAAAAAACCGTTTTTTTTAAGTATTAAACCTCAATTATCTTGGAAATCTGACGTGCTAGAATTTTTTCACTTGCAGCATCGTTTTCAGTATCCAAAAGTCTATAAGAGACACGTAGTCCGGTCCAAAGTAATTTTTTGCTGTAAACTAGTATAACCATTGTTCAATAATTACAAAAATACGACGCCATTGCGTGATATCTGTTCGTTATTAGATTTTTTTGGTTGCTGAAGTGCGAAAGGACAGCCTATCGACGCCTAAACGATCGTCATTGGGGAATCTTTATGAAAATGTAATGACGGTAGACAGGAATGAGAGAGCGTCTTTTTGTTGCTCTCCGATCGATCAGTCACCGGCGTCTATCTATATCTGTGCCGACCCTTTGTGCGCGACGACACTCGAGGGGCAGATAGAGGGTCGAAAGGACTGCACTTCCCGCCTTTTCGCGCGACCTGACATTTGAATGACATGGGTATCGCGGTATTTAAATCATTCATTGTCCAAAAACGTTTTGCATTGAATTTTGTATTGCCTAAACGTATAATGGTAGATGTGAATGTACTGTGCGATATGATATGTTAATAATTGAGGCATTTAAAATACTTTATCGTGTTCGTAAAATTATGTTCGTATAATAATAAAAACTGATTACAAATTATGTAGTGCATAATATGCTTCCGGGATGTGCAGTTTATTAAATAAAATTCATGAATTTGAACGCTAGTTACGAATACGTGAGTGAGTAGCTCTTCACTTGTCAGTACTTCAACTTTAAATTTAATTAAAATTGATGCACCGAGAGCGATGTCGATATTTACACGCATTTATCGTTCACAATACCCGACGATGTAACGATAAACATTTCTCGTGGAAAAATATTTTCTATACCCGTACTATGTTCTTACAGTATTTTCTCGGACGTTTACATTACGTTATATTGTTTAATAGCGTTGCATGAGCTGATAAAATTCACGAAGAGTTAGAGGCGGTGTGTAATTATATTTTAGAAATGGATCACGATGGTTTTGAACAAAGTAATAAAGTTAACACTGTAATCTCCGCTACGAACGGATATCCGATCGATCGAAGCATCACTCAAAGTTTAACTGTCTTTGTAAAAATGATTAAAGTAGATAATTTGTAAAGCAAATTCTTGTGTAGGTAACTGATTTGAGATATAATACGTAATAGATTTAATCTAAACCTCTTACTAGATATTTTTTTATTACATAAAAAATATTTTTTAAAATAAAATGTATTTTTATTAAATAACCGATGTGTTTTTTATTAAACAAAAATAAAATGGTATCACATTTTTAATGAATGTTTGACGACACTTAAAATAAATAACATACGTAAATGCAAATATTTAGCGCTTCAAAAAGATAAACTAGGTAATAAAAAAAAAACTGATTCAAACGATTAACGTTTCTGCGAAATTTCCTCGGAGTGGAAAGAAAGCTGGAGATCTAGACACGATATAAAACTTTCAAGATTATTTTCAGAATTTACATGAAAGTTATTTTTATGTGAAAGATAATCTTATAATCTCTAAAAAATGTTGGATATGTATCTATTAACGTACCTTGTCGCCTTGTTGCAGTCCAGCTTTCTCGGCGGGGCCACCTGGCACGGTCCACACGATGCACGCGAAGGTGCGCCCGTCCGATCCGGTCTTGCCGCCTACCACCCTCATGCCAAATCCACGCGCTGCAACAAAAGGACGTGGGCTAAAAATCAAGTACGTATAACGCGAGAAGCAATGACAACGCACCGCAATTTCCGCAGATATCTCTCGTTTCCGTGGGTAGGATTTGCGTCATCGAGACGAGAACACGCCGGCCGGGCTGTACTTGCGTCGCACCGCTCCGAAGGGAAACGCGCGGGTTGCCTTTCGCAGCGGCGCGGCGGCGGCGTAACACGCGCGCGTAGCTTACACGTTCCCCAATGTTCTCCCCGTAGCAGAATTCATACGTGTTCGCGAGTATAACTGAACTGCTACAACGTCGGGTCTTGGAAAATAATTAACGCCCACGCACGTTGTAAGCGCGAGCGGCAATTGCGCCGATTGTTGGAGTAACAATGTCACGTTGTTAGCGAATCTAATGCGCATGCGAGTGGTCGTCGTACTTTAGCATCACGAATTGCTATCCGATCGTTGGCATTTCCACTTTTACATGAGAAAATAATAATTCGAGAAAATAATAAGCTTTAGGATAGTCAAATAGAACGTTTGCTAGCCGTAAAATCTTCAGTACCAGTTTAATTTTAAATAACTTTTATTTTAGTCTGCAATATCAGGCTTTAGACATTCTTGATATTTTTTTTATCAGTTATAAACAGTTTAAAAGGTCGTGCGTATAAAATATCACACTGTGAATTTGTTTTTACATTCATCTCTCAAGAGTAAGAAAAATTTTAGTGAAGTAAATGTGTGTGCGCGTGTGTAGAATTTATAATCTTTATAAGTTATATGTATATATACATATATATATATATATATATATGTATATATACATATAACTAATATATACATATATATATTTAGTTTTACACACACACACACGCACGCACGCACGCACGCACGCACGCACTTATATGTATATATATATAGAATTTTATTAGGGAAAGGATGCACGTTTCCCTCTTCTAAATTTATTTATGCGGACAAAGCTATCTCAATGTCGTGTTTCGCTGAATCCAGCGATTAAGCACACTGAAATACAATCCGACATGACCAAGTCAATTTCAAGCTATCGGCTCTGAGGATTTCGTAACATCTGGATAAACCGTCGCACCATGTTTAACCACATTGATTCGACGGACAACCCTCTCTTATTACAGGCAACCGCAGATTCTATTAACTCTAATTGTAAGTGGATGAGACCTTACGTGATGTGTGTCCGGAAGTTTTTGAAATTACTTGAAAGATGGATAGAAACATCGAAATCTCGTCTTATTTTTATTTTATACATCAGGATGCAGATTTAAATATATCTGCATCAATCAGATTATTACAACGATTATTAATACAACGAAATTACTTGTCTTATAAAATTGATTATTGATTTTTTCTGGAAAGGACGCTAATTTTTAGAAAAGCAGAAAAGATTAATAGATATCTCAAAAGTCACAATACTAACTAAAGAACACAATTTGAGCTCTAATTGCAATATCCATACAAATATAAAATTTGAAATTCATTTCGAATATATTTGCGAGTTAGTTTTCTATTCCCGGCGGAAATCGAGTTTGTTGGAATTGACACATAAATTAATGTAGTCGCGAAATTGTAGAAAATATCGCGCAGTCGTAACTGTCCTCGGCCGAATGACGGATCGATCGCGTTTATGTCGAGAAAATATAAAACAGATTGAAAGTTTCGCGCTATTTGTGCAAATAGTGCAAATATACCTCTCTATTGATATTTTAACAAGGAAAAGCTGTATAACGATGAGGATAGGCAAAGGGAAGGGCGCAGGAAGGGAACGATAAAACGGGGAGATTTGCCGATAACGGTACCTATATAATGTTTTCAAATTTGGCGCTCCCTGCATGGTGCCGATAAAAAAAATGCCAGGTTGACTTTTCGCACTTTTTACGCGCAGGCTGCAACGGCATTTCGCTTATTTCCCACGTCTACATCATAAAAGCGAGTTTACAGCATTCGTTATTTACGACGTTTCCTTATGAATTTTGTAAAACTGAAATTGAAATCTGTGAACAGAATTTATTTCGCTAATAGGTTTAAATGATAAAATGTATTGCTCTCCAATTGGAAAATATTTTTTACATACTAATATTCTTTTTTTCATTATAAATAATTTGAAATTTGGAGATTTAGATATAACAATAGTTTAATTAATATTAGAATGATTTTGAAAGACGTGTTTAATGCAAAATACCTTTTAAAAATATTATCAGGATTATATTTTTATACAAGACTTATGCAGTGTAGAGGTTCAATTTCAAACTAATCTTCAAAACTATTTAATATTTATTGTCTATTATCGACAAATTTGCATGAGATTAAAATACTATTATTAAAAATGATTGAAATCCGTCCCAAGTACTAACACTTTAATTTACTTTCTACGTGCCGGAATTAACGGGGAGGAGAGAATATATTATAAATGGTCATATCTGAATTCAACGTACGTTTTTCATTTTGATAAATCCAGCGATTGCTGGAAAAATATCTTTTTCCTCTCGATCGTCTCCACACTCATCTTCGGCAGAGTTGCCAAGGTCGTGTCACCAAACGACGTGGGCGTAGTGTAAGGACTTTCGCCGGGGATGCGATGACAGGGTGGGTTGAAAGGACACGGGAAAAGGGTGGTCGAGACCTCGGAGGCATAGTTTGATATACGGCCGGCAAACACACACGAGCTTGTGTTGAACAGAAACGTGCCCCCTCCCCCCCCCCATAACGCCCGTCTCTCGTGCTATGCATATTGCGTGCGCAGCCAACATCTTCGCTTTCCACGCGCCTAAGCCCCCGTGGTTGGCCGTGTGCCATTCTTGCGCGTTGCCGGTAATGATATTGTCCCCGTGTGTATTAGCGTGAGAAATCCGAAACTCGCGCGCGAGGAGAGCCACTTAATTAAGTGTTATCGTACTGGCCGCGCGCGTAATTTCGTTCTGATGTGTACGAATTAATCCTGTTGCTGCCGCGCATAATCCCGGCCGGCCGTATTTCGTATTGCTCGAATCGTGAACACTTTCGGCAAGTGCTGTCGATAAATCTCAATTATGAATTGAGACGTAGTTTTTCGTGCGACTTTTTGACGATAGCGACACAATGCTGTGATAAAAAAACGAATAATGTATATAGAAATTATAGAAATGAAAAAATCTTTTCTGAAAATGAGATATGCTCTTTATGATATAACACAAACAAAAACCTATAACATTAAGATTTGTAATATTCGTTACGTTATAATAAACGTAATTTGATTTTACGTTCAAGTAAATGCTGTTTGAACTTATAGTGCTGATCCACGATGACTCGTGGAAACAATATCAACGATTCGGCGAACGTAGCGTCGAATGAAATCATCGCAAGTTGACAAAGAGTCAAAAACGTCACGTATTCGAGAGAAACCGAGTTAAAGCCTCACTTCGATGTCTCGCGGTCGCGAGTCAGAGTTGCTGCAGAATTTAAAATTCGGCAGTCATCGAATATCAATCCTACCGACGAATCGGTTGTCATTTCAAACTATCGTATTGATCGACGTGCAAACCTGCGCTTGCACAAACGCGACTTTAATGAGATACGACACAGAGGCGACATCCGTACCATTTAATTGATCAACGTCATCGAGTTCTCGAGCAGCGGGATTATCTGTTAATGCTCTGACGAACTGGTTAAGGAGAATCTCGTTTGCGTCAGGATAGCACCGACAATAATCCGGTTAGAGGTTTCGCTCGCACGCCATGGTAATTATCAATAGCCATCAGTTATGATCAATTCTGATCATGTTGTGATCGATTATGATCAGTTATGATTAATTCACATTTTGGCTGCACAATTTTTGTTCGCATTGTTTATTCGATGGAAATTCGGTAGAATTGGTATTTTTTGTTATCAAATTAATTTTGTACTCTTTTAATTCGTAAATCTATCGCTGCTATTGAATTTATGAAATTATATCCGAGTTTGTACAAGATTTAAATACGATACTGATACTGAATCTAGTTAAATCGAATAAAAACAAGTTTTAAGTGTATTTCAAAATTTCAACAAATTCTCGCGATTGCACGAAATAAATATTATATCAACCTCGGAACTCGAATATCGTTTGTGATCGTTTACGAAACGAAAGGGAAATACAATGGACGCTCGAAAATCGACAAAGCTAATTAAAATTCGCTTGCAACAACTTTCAAGAAGCGTGGTCTAATTACGAGTAACGCGCAAGTTGCATAATTATAGACTGCATGCCGCTCATTTACACGTGTTGCCCCATACTTTGCGATAACGATGTTAATTCTATAATTATTATTATTATCATCTTTACTTTGTGCACGTATAAACTGAAATTCAAATTTAATCATAATTAAATATCAATACTTTGCTGCTTAGTTTTAATGCCGCGATATTTGTCAAAAAATATCGTAATAATGTTTTTTTTAGTCCAAAATTGAATCAGAATTATACGCACGTGGCAAACCGTGAGTATGTTATTGGTCGGTGAAGTTGGAGAGGACAGGGGGATGGCCGTGATAATGGGAAATGCGTCTGTTCGTAGCCACAATAGCGTACCTGTTGCGGACAGTTCAGAAGCTCGAGGCAACCACTTTATGGATTCCGTTTCTATAGACGATTTTCTCATTTCCTCGACCTTCTTTTTATTCCTCCTTAGTCATCTCCCCAACTTCGCGGAACTTGTATAGCTACTATTCCGAATCAATTTGACGAAATGTTGAAAAATCGTCGCATGAATTTATGTTAGTACTTCGCAAGAAAAAATTTATTGAATTTTGCGTGACATTTAATGTATATACGAATATAATGTCAAAAATAAGACTTACGTACATACATATTTTGATACTTATATTAATCGATTGAAATAAAATTCGTATTATTTTTATTATTTTGCTTCTATAACGAGAAATATCTTTGCGAAACGAACCAACTGTTTTGAACTGTTTTATGAAACAAAGTGAAAATGATTTGATTCGTATGCTCTCTTTCATAATTTTCTGTA